CTTTGTGCAAAACTTTTGACAAAATGCAAGAAAAATCACTTCCCAATCGCTAGAAATGTCATTTGTGCTTTCTTTAAGATGTTACACTTTGAGTTTGTGACCTCCTCTAAGAATTTATAATTGTCCTTAACTTTGACTGTATGTCAGTTAACCGATTCAGTTGTTCTAGTTTATAGATTATAGTTTAGACGTTATTTTGTATTTCTTTAATTTCTGCAAGTCGCCACTTGGGTACGTATTTCCCATGACTTTTACTCAGGTAAAACATTATTTTCAAAAATGTGGGTATTTAAATAAAAACAGAAGTTCTAGTGAGTTAAGAGATACGTTTGAACATCGAGATAGTGTAGTGATAGTATTGTGCTGTATGCGTTGCGACACGTGGATTGGCTGGAGGGCAATCTCTGGAGGGAAACGAGACACGTCTTGTCATGATGGTATCCTATGATTGAAGAGAGATAGAAAAGGGAGAATTTCTTTTTATGCTGCTTTATATAGCGCCACATAGCGAGCATTAAAAGATGTCTTCTGGCAGACAATCTAGCATAATCCCACAGTGCCAACTGGGAGTACTGATCGTGCTTCAAATGTGTTCTTTTTTATCTTTCTTTTTATTTATGAGTTCACATTTAGTCAGAGGGTAGGAAAACTTGTAAGCGAGTTTGATGGTCTGGAGTTTGGGAACTCATAGGCGTTGTATTATTGGTAATATAACATGAATTTAAGCGTGCTACTAGATTGGCATCTAGGCCTCACCCTTTTATTGTTGAAATAGTTAAATGTAACCGCCACTTCTACTCCAACAGTTTCTTTTCTCGCACTTCCCGCCTATGGAACTCCCTTCCGTTTACTTGATTCCCTGAAAACTACAATCTTCAAAAATTTAAATACAAAGTCAATCGTCATCTTCTGTCTTCTTGAGTCCTGTTCATCTTTTATACTTTCCCCAATCTCCCCTATACTCTTTTCTCTCACTTTCACTCTCTGTAACCCCCTGCGTACTAGTGGCATTTCCGCTTTCATTGGGGTGAAATAATAAAAAAAAACTTACATTATACTACAGAAAATCAAAAACTCCCAACATAATAACTAACAACAGACCCATCCTTAATAGCACGCGAACATAGACAGAATGTCCTGACCGGGTTCGAAAACAAAGCAAAAGAAGGAAATTCCAATGCAAAAAATAAGTTTCTCACACAACAAAGTATAGCAAACAAAAAAAAATATATTAATAATCCTCGTTACCACGAAAATTAAACGCCTCCACTCGAAAATGGTTAAAGTATGAGCCTAAATCCTTCGGGAAAAGCAACACAATGCACAATTTCTTCACAACGATTGAGATATTAAACAAAGAAAGTTATATACCCGTGAATATATTATTTCTTGTGGCATATCTCAAAAGTAGCATCAGATTCATTGTAGTTTTGTGGATAAATCAGTAAAATAAAATTATCGTCAGTCTTCGGCAGTCTGTATTTGCAGCAGGACTTATGCCTTTCTCGAACTGATTGGTGCATAATATATATATATATATATATATATATATATATATATATATATATATATAATTATGCATTAAAATACGCACACACGGGTGCATGTGCGCACGCGCGCGAAGGCACGCATACACTATGAAAAAGTTTGCACCAATGAAAAGTGCATATAAAAAGAAAAATCGAGATGTACAAAGAATCAATTGTTGATACCCACTGACGAGTGGACGGAGTAATTGCTGGAGGGTTCCTCTACGAAACTCTGGAATCGGGATACTGAAAGTAAGATCAATCAACTAAATGAGAAACCTTTTACTTGTATTTCTTTTTTAATTATGATTCCATCGCGACACAGAGATTACTGTTTCGAAACTGGTCAGCAGTATTCAAGTTTAATTTCAATATTAAACCTTAACTACTTTTAGGGAAGTCTCATCATCAAGCGATGTCTCCAAACATCACTTGAGGATGAGACAATAATCTCTGTGTCGCGATGGAATCATATTTTTTAAAAATAATTATAATCTAGACTCTACTTCTGTATCGAGCACCGTTTTTTTTTTAAATAAAAAAAAAAAATACTAAAGAACTTCGGATCATCAATCTACAGTTCTTTCCTATTATATCAATACACACACACATATATATATATATATATATATATATATATATATATATATATATATATATATATATGAAGGATGTGGTAGCAATTCTTGTGTGTATATATATATATATATATATATATATATATATATATATATATATATATATATGATAAATATGATAGATAAGGAATATCTTGTAATATTTTTTAAGTTTTCATTCGTGAGGGTTGAATTTTAAACCTTTTTTACGACTTTTACACAGAACCAATAAACGTGACTAAAACATTATAACCACTATCGTCATTATTATCTAAACAGATTATCGTTATATAACACTGAATTTTAATGTATATTAAATGAAGTATGATTTCGTATTTTATCAGTCTATCGGTAGTCGTTTATCTCACATACCAAGTACTACCCTACTCTTACTGTTTGGACATTTAAATTTTCTATACCCTGGGGCACCTCGAGGCGGTGTAATGGTTAGCAAGCTTGGCTCGCTAGAACAATTACGACTGAGTAGTGAGTTTCATTCTCACTGGGTGTCCGCTAATTTCGGCCTTGTGCCACATCTAAGCTACGCTTGAAAAATCACTATATAGTCTATACCTTAGCTATGTTAATTAGGCAGTTATTTGCATATTACTACAGTAACAATAATATTTTCAGTAAAAAAAATCTATATATTTCTTATTAATTGATATTAACCTATTTAAATATTACTTGTTAATATTTATTCACTTGTTGACATATAACGTGCTAGGATTTATTAAAAACGCTCACTCATTATTCACCCAAGTGAAATAAGTCTTACGAAAAAAAGATTTTCAGTTGTCCAAAATTATAGTAAGTAAGAATTATAAAAATAATATAACTATTAATAATGTCTCTATTTTCACAATCTTATGGCTGTCGTTGTTTAATCGTTCTATACGTATGTTCACAATGTTTTGTTACTCCAGTAGTTCCCAAAGTGTGTGCCTCATAGGTGTGCCAGAAGAGGATACAGGTGAGATGGAATGATTGAAAGACAATCAAAGATTTAGAAATAATTCCAAAAAATCCATATACCAAAAATAAATATGATTTCAAAATTTAAAATATTATTATGGATTACTTGTAATTGCATGCATGGCTCCCAATATCAATAATTATAAATAATTATTGACCGATTTTATCATTGTGATATTTTTGCATTATATCAAGTATGAAGAATATAGTAATTAGGGTTCACAAATTGTTTTGTTACATCTACTAAGCATAGTTCATGATTTAGCGAATTATAAGTCTTTAAATGCAAATTTTAAAGAAAACTACATGTTTTGTATTTAACTCAAAAGTTGTGATACCACCTTCAATATGAAACAGATTTGCACGCGTATAATTAGAGCGAATTGATAAATAAACAAGAAAGTCCTAACCTAATGATATTGTCGATTGACCATGTAATGTGAATGCTATTTAAGTCGCCATTTGAATGAGATTAAATAAAAAGCAAAGTAATTAGGTGTGAAAAACAGTTCACTTGAAAATAAATATCTTTTTGCCGTTGAAATCATTAGGGTTTTCAACAAGAAAAACATAAGTAAAATTAAAATTATTTCGTCTTCGGACAAAACAAGGAGTGTCCGCAACTACAGATGAAAATTATTTACAATATTTTGCTGTATCGACTGGACTAAGAAGATTGAATTTTGAAAAGTACGTACTTTATTTTAGCTTTTACTTTTTCTTTTTTTTAAAACTATGATGAGCTCCGATGTATTTGCATGCTTGATTTTTCACTTAAATTATAATTTCGCTGTTCAAATTTATTTTCAAAACGGCTATTTTTGTCGAGTTAAAAATAACAATATGCCAGACAATAAAGCTCATGTAGATATTTCAAGACCAAGCAATTAGAGAAAACTAAATGCCAATTAAAATTTATGCAAGTATGTGATCAAACATAATATTTATTGATAGTTTAAATAAGATAAGCTACAAGTTTTGTTTATGGATTGTTTAAAAAATATTTTTTGTCAACTACCACAAATATTGTTACGGTCAGTCTATTACTTATACAGAGAAAAAAACGTTAAAATGTTATTTATTTGTTAATTTGACATTCATAATTATAATCGCTTTTTTGTTACAACAACTAATAAGATAGAAATTTACATTATTTTTGCGTCTCTTATCGTTTAATAGGAGAGATTTTTTTTTAAAAAAAAGGCCTGGTGGAGCTTTTTCTGTATTGGGAATAATTGTCATAAAAATTCCGACACAAACTGATAATGTAACCTTTTCTTAAGTAAATAATACGAACAAATGAACGTCCAATCTGGCTACAAATAAAATAGTTTTATTAAATGAAAGATTTATTAAATTACTTACTTCATGTCAATTATTAGACTTGCTGCATGCTATTAGTCAACCGCAATTATATTGTAAGAAATGTTTTGTTCTAATATTTCTCTTTTTTCCATTTTACTGAACACATTTCAAGCCCGTGTAATTTTACGTGTAAACTACTGATAACTTCAAAATAGACCATATGCACCAAAAGAAACTACTAGTTTTTATCAGTAAAGCAATCAGCGTATGAATGCAGTCATGCGTAACTATGCAGCGAATCTCATCGCATGGTGTTTTACACAAACGGTTACAACATACCGTGATGCTATATAAAAATCAATTTAATAAAAAAATTCAAAAAGTTATTTTTAAGTGGCTATCGTTAACTATTACTCATTTGAGAAAACAAAGACGCCCACTGTCATATATAGATGAGTGAATACGAAAAAGGATCCCAGAAAAAATATCAAAAAAAGAGTAGAACAAAAGAGAAATGCAAAGCTTCTGATTGATTGAAACAGTTCAATCTTCCGGGTTTGCTGGTTCTATATAAATGGAACCTCTCATCGGGGACAGACAAAGAAGAAAGATGGAGAAATTGGTTGTGATCCTCCTGGTCTTGCCTCTCTTCTGCAATGGACAGACTGTTGACCAAACGATTCAGCCACAAGCACATGGGGAAGTTGTCGTCGACGCTGTCATTGACAGAATTCGTTCCTCATGTATTCTAATCGATGACAAATACTTCATGAAAAGAATTGCTGCTGTAGACACAGACTATGGCAAGAACAGTAAACTTGGCGAAGGCGGAATCTGGAAGGTAAGGAATGCTTTAGATTACAAACTTTATTCTTAACTTTGTCAAATACAATAATTATACAGATACACTCTTCCTAATCAAATATTATTCTATACAGACGACTAGCAACAGACATTATTTAACTTGATCTATTGGTAAAAGAAAAATATTCGTCGTTTACCTGATATAAATAATATATACATTGTAAATTTATCTATATACTGATTAAAATAAATATTTTGAGAGAAAACCCAGTTTTTTAGAAGTTACAGTATGCATAATAAACAAGTTTATTGTACATGATTCCCTCTGCCTTTTCTATAAATACTTTCATTGTAATTGTTCTGATGAACTTTCCTCTATATTACCTAGTCTTTATGAATTTAAGTGTATTACTAGATTGGCGGCAAGATTTCATCAATTTACAGTTGAAATGTTTAGATGTAATCCTAAGTTCTATGCTAATAGTTTCTTCCCACTTGTGCAAATCTCTTACGGCTTCTTGCTTCCCAGTCTAATTTGATCTTCAAAAATTTTAATGCAATATCAATCGTTAGCTTCTGTCTTCTTAATTCTTGTTCTTTTATTGTTCTCTTTCCTTAATAATGTGTTCGTTTTCTTATGTTTACTAGCACTAAGTAATCCTTTGCGTCTTTGTGGCTTTATTGTCTTTCTTGGGATGAAATGATTAAAAATAAATATGAACGTATTTCAGTATTATCATAGAATTATTAGACCTTTATCGATGATTTCTCTCAAGAAAATATATTAGGTGTGAATCCGCAAAACTTCGACCGTGTTATAAAACATAATATGTATTAAAAATTTATTTTATTAATTTTTAATACAACATATTGTACTGATTTGTCTTTAATCGTTAATGTTTAATTAAGAAAACATTTTGATAAGGTAGATTAATTAATTCATTTAACCATACAAAATAAACAGAAAAACTTTTCGTAATCAACGGCATATTAGATTTGACTGCACGTCTGAAGTTATTATTTGCCTTCTTTGCTTGATACGTTGACCAAGAGAAAAATGAAAAGTATCAAGTGAATGGCTTCTTAATTTTTAAACGCTGAAGCTTAAACTTAATGTCAAAAACGGAAATGTTTTAATATGCCAAAATAATTTAATTATTTTCATAACATATCGTAATTTTTATCGGTTCCCCAATTAAATATAGTTAAAGTTTTATGAAATTTAAATTCAATGTAACGCAGTTTGTAAAATTAAGGTATAATTTGGGCCAGTATCTTTTTCAATATTTAATTTCTTTTAATTGTGGGAAACTGCAACAACTGTTTTAATATATTCATGACTAATACCAGTGAAATTCATAGTTGATTAATATTTTCAGTCCAAAGAATTGAATGTAATGAAAATTACTTTATCGAAAGCTGCACTGGATTTGGATACTAGTGAGGATTTTGTTCCAAATCCTTAACAAAAATAATTCAAACGGATCATCATTTTCAATCAAATATATATGTAATATAGTAACGTTATTCATTATTGTAATGGATACAAGCGAGATGGGAGATGGAAGTTACTTATTTTATGACCACGATATAAAATTTAATTAATTGCTTTTTTTCTTTTTTTTTTTTTTCAAATAAATGAATCTTTGGGATAGCATATTTTCATACATTTGTATTTGTGAAAAAGTTGGGAATTTAATTTTAAAAGTGCCGACAGTTAAACCACGAATTACCGCAACTTTCTTGAAGCATTTTTGTTAAAAAGCCAAAGTAATATTTATCATGCTTTGGTTTTCTCTGAGTGAATTAAAGAAAAATAATTTATATCTCTTTCTGTTTGCGGACTGCGAAAATTATTATGCGAATAATAATTTGAATATAAAAAAATTTAATTAATTTTAATTAAGAAGTTTGATGATTTGGATTGAAACGTAGAAAATATAAAAGTTCTTTTTTTTTTCAGAAATAAATCTTATTGAAAATAAAATGTCAGTTTGGATATGAATAATACTTTGTTTTTTTTATGTGGGGAATGTATTGACTTTCTGAAATACGATGTAAAAATATCTGCTACCCTGGGGATTCACAAAAATTTTTTCCTAGAAGGAAAATTTTAGACTTTCTTACGGAATTTAATTTTTGGTATTTATGGGTTATATGCCAATTTTTAAATTAATTTTCCAACTTTTTCACAGATACAAATGTGTAAAAATATACTATCCCAAAGATTCATTTAGCAGTCTAAAAAAGAAAAGAAAAAAACAATTAATTAAAATCATTTTACCACACCTGACTATAAAAGATCACCATTACGTAATTTAAAAAGGGGGGCGACAGATAAACGACAAGAGACACATTTTAAAAAATGGCGACAGATAATCCACAAATACCAAAGTAGCATTCTCCCATTAAGTTAAAACATTTTTGCCTTCTTTTGCCATCTATAAAAACAATGGCCAGTAAAAACATCAGCAATTTACTATATTAGTAATAATGAATTCAGATGAAGCCGTTACAATAATTTTACAGTAAGCGACTATTGACAGTTATTAAGATACGAAAGTGACGAAACAATTCCGAACAAAACCGATCTTTAAAATTCAAACTCAACAAATCGTTATTGGAAATACAGGCATCCCTCGATTAGTATGCATTCGATTATTGTGTTTTCGATTAGTGCGCCAAAATTCGATTAGTACATGTATAATCCTTGATTAGTGCGTTAAAACATTTTTAAGTTGAACCATAATAATTGAAAATTGATTTTTTTATAGTTACGGCACTAATCGAGGGATTCCTGTATATCGTATTTCATAAATACGATATTGTTCCTATAACACATGCAGCCGTTTATTACATAGGAGGTTTTTTTCCTTGCAACTACGTACAAAATGAATCCATTTTTTTCCTTTTGTAAACTTAAATGTTTTTTTCCTTTACTTCAAACACATAATGTTATATACTTAAGTAAGGATATTTATTTATTTTCGTCTATCATTCTGAATATTCCTGAAATCTTATTAAATAAAAAGAAGCGCCCTCCTTTACGGAAGAAACCGTCATTAGATCTGACATGCTTTTGACCAATTCGACTACGAAGGGCGTTATCGATCAAGCAAGGCCGAATAGTGCGCAAAATCCTTTCCGGATTCTCGAAAGTTCTTAGCTGTTCAGTTTCGTATCCAAACGTAAACAAAGCAACTTCTAAAGAAGTAACGGATTTTTATTTATTAATTCGATAGATTTTATTACTTTAAACATTATTTTTAATGGATACCCATATTTGAGTAGACGCTACGTTTATTCTTTTAGCAGTATATTTGTGCATTTTCGTCTACCGCATTTCGTGGTTAAATCAGTCTAAAGCACATCGGATCCAACAACGGTTTCTTCTGCACAGGGGGGGGGGACGCAGATTTGAATCCTGTCGGAGGAAGCACTTTTTTCTTTATTAAGATTTCCTGAATATTCAGGTCATTAGGCGAAAATGAATAAATATAGTTAAGCTAAAAGACTGAAAACTTTCCATTAAGTATAGAGGACTAGAATTAGGAGAAGCAATCGTTCTTCAAATTGTTACTAGCTTGAACCTTTTTCAGCCAAAGACAACAGACATCAAAAGTATATCATGAAATGCACGCGTGGTGAATGAGTGAGAAAGCAGAAATGTTACAGTGAATGAGTGAGAAAGCAGAAATGTTACAGTATTTTCATTACATAAAATATATCTACAAATTCTTGCAAGAAAACCTAGACCATTGATCGGCTCAGGTCAGCAATAATGTAGGTGTATTCTTCTGTGAGGCGGATCATATTTAGTTAACCCAGCCATTTTCCAAGAGGAACACGTATCACTAACAGAACTCTGCAACCTTACTGTCAATGGTCGAGTGGTTAGAACGCTCTTTTTCCGACTTTGAGCCCCGGGTTCAAATCTCACACTTATCGATTTGTCAGGAAGGTAATATCTTCATCGGTCTGGAGAGGGCAGAAGATTTGGAAAGCGCCTGAAAACCATACGTTATTTTTAGTGGACACCCATATTTGAGTCGACGCTCCGTTTTCTTTTTTTAAAACAGTAATTTATGGATTTTTGCCTACCGCCTTTCGTGACCGAGTCTGTCTAAAGCATGTTGGATCTAATCCAGTTAGCTGTTGATGTTGAGGTAGCACGAAGTTGCAAGTCATCGTAACTGAGTGTTTGAGCTTATTGGCCTTGTTCAGACTGTTGATCACGCCATGCACTTAGTCTTTAACTAAGGTCCGCTCAGCATAATTGCAGTATAAACCAGAGGTGGGTTCTGTCGGCGTTGAACAAACACAAATATGTCTGGGCAGGCGTCTGTAATAGGGATTCGATAGCCGTCCTAGCAAACAGGTATACTCAGATACGACCGGCTATCCAATGTCTCTTCTCATTGGATCAAAGGGTGAAATCAGTGAAGCACACACCACACCGAACTTCACTTTAAACTAGCGCTGGATTATAGTATCGACTTACCTCCTGCAACCCCCATAGAACGAGAAAAATATGAAAACTTAGTTCCAAACATTAAACCAAAGTATAGTAATAATGTTGTTTTTTTTTTAGGGTGGTTCGGCGATAAAATCGGTTCCCTCATTCTACATTGATCTAGATTTTCAGTGGACAGGTCTAATTTTAAATAGAATTTAAGTCTACTTATAAATAGAATTATTTAAAAAATTATCTCGTTTCTTATGGAATACTTTTCCACTTATATAAATATTACAAGACATTTTTTTCTTTGTTAACCTTTTTTTTAGGTCACTAATAGAATTATAAGCTTGGTCAAGGCCAGATGTCAGACGAGTGTGCGCCCGATTTGCAACCAAATTTTACAAAAATTTTCCTTTGACATCTCGAAGGCGACATTGTCAGATATGGAGGTACCACTTTATTCTGCTATAATAATGTATACCTACATAGCAGATTTTATTAAAAACGTTCCATCTTCCAAATCTGCCCAGGCACAATTGTGGCAAAGCTCCATCCAACCAACAGGCAATCTGCAAAATTTCATTACAAAATCTTCTATCAAAGTCAGTAAGTAAACAATTCCTTATATTTCTGTGAAAGAGAAAGAAGAGTATATTAAAAAGCTACAATGATTCATTAAATACAAATACACATATATCTGCGTGTGCGCGTGTTCCTGAGGATGATGCAAGTAAACATTGAAATGTTTTTAAAATTAGTTCTTGTCTTTTATAAAACATAATGAGCCAAAAGTATGTAGCTTGAAGTTAAGCTCGTCTATTACATTTTAACACTGACTTAGACACACACACACACACACACACACAATAGATGATTATGAATAGGGCGTGCTATTCCGAATATAGAAAGTATTTTTGTCGTTAACCTTCTTGTAATCCTAGGACATTACTAAACAGTATAAACTAGCCGTTAGAGAAAATTAATTTATTCATGAGGATTTTTTTCTTTTACCTTCGTGTAGCCTCAGTTATGAGCTTATAAGAAAATACGCATATTTATTTATAAGTCTACATATATGGATGTGTTAATGCATAGATGTTTCTATGCAGGTTGAGATAGATACAAGATGTAGGGATACAAAAGGCGATGGTCCTCCTTTTGTTGAGACAGTCACAAGTATCACGTGACGGCTGGAGAATGATGTCAGGGGATAGAGTGACAAAGGGCAGTTGCGATGTAAAGCACAGAGAAGAGGGACGTCCATAGTCCACAACGGTAGGGGGCCTATACAGAAAAAAAACACCTGATCTATGTCCATAGAGTAACCGCCTGATCTATGCCGATAGAGTAACTCCAGATTTTCCACAAAAAATGGAAATAGATCTAAGAACATAAAGGGGTCATTAAAATATAAGAATACAGATATTTTTCCACGCCCTTTCTCGAATCAATCTTAATGGTTTTATTACCCTTTAAGCAGAAGAAATTTCTTTCCACCAGTCCAAGAAAGACACACACACACACAAAAAAAGAGAATGTTTAAGATCGAAGACCACAGGGAAAATTAATTCATTTTAAAATATAATATATACTTTTTTTTAAAATTCACATTACAACCAAAAAAACGGTTTTTATATATATATATATATATATATATATATATATATATATATATATATATATATATATATAATTACGATAAAACTGCCTCTGAGAAGACAGCATGTTTGTCATTCCTTTTCCATTCAGTTATTCTGTTACGTCCGTGAAGTACGGTGTTATTTTATCAAATATATAATAATGCTCATATCGGTGGAAATTCAAATGGAAGAATAAATCTTTCTTCGATAGCAAACTTCTGTTGTAAATGAGTTGATTAAATCATTCTCATTTTCTAAGATTGTGTGCTCTTTCATATAAACTAGCTGATTGATTCTCTATAGCAGTGTTTCTTAAGCATTTTTACTTCAGAGCGCACTTGTTGAATAGCTAAAACTCTGGGGCTTACTTTAAATTTTAATAAGGAAAGATTAGTCATGAAATTTGAAAATATGAATTTTTGGCTTTGCATTCCCGAAGATGATACAGTTTTCATTTAAAGGGATTTATGCACAATCTACTTTTTCAGAGAGGCCATAATGACTGATTTAAATCCCTTGAGGAAGGCAAAAGGGAAAGGATTATCCACTCCTTCTTAAAGATTAAGGAATTTAGTATCCAGTTTAAAATATCAAATGATAAAGATTTGACTTATATATGGAAGCCGTGTATAGATATATTATATGACTTATTGTAATATTCTTGCGTTGATAGTATCGTTGAAATATAGATGCCTTCAAGCCTTTTTGGAATGAAAGTTTCGGAGCATAACAACGAAATGCAATTACTTCATTATATTTTTTGTTTTCTGCAGGTTGTTCTGCTGTGAAGATGGAACTGGTGTTTGCAATTGATGCATCCGGTAGCGTTCGTAGTTATAACTTCCTAAAAACCTTAACCTTCATTAAAAATGTGGTGAAGAATCTTCAAATCGCCCCCAACATGACGCGCGTTGCTGTCATTCGTTTTGCTACCAGTTCTAGTATTTCCTTCAACTTAGACACTTACGATTCCGTTTCCAAAATGATACCCAAAATTGCTTCAATTGCCTATACGAAGGGTGGCACATCGACTTACAAAGCAATGGACATGGCGCGAATCAGTGTCTTTAAAAAAGCCCGTAAAAATGTGCCTAAAGTATTTGTTCTAATCACCGATGGTTACTCGAATAGTAAGACAAGGACTGTGGCCGCCGCTGAAAAATTAAAAAATAGCACCACCACCATCTTCACTATTGGTGTTGGTCGCGTAAATCATCAGGAGATGCTTGCAGTGGCTTCTTCTCCAAATTGCACCCATTATTATTCATTGAATTCTTATAACGAAATCGATGGTATTATCAGTGAAATCCAGCGTGAATCTTGTGAAGGTAAGAAATTATTTCATTAATCACGAACTCATTGTAACATTAATAACATTTATTTGTTTTATTCAAAGTAAATATGCTGTCTTCCTTTTATGTAAATCATAACAAAATCATTAAGCGAACTATCGTCTGCTAATTGCATATTGACCTTTGACATTTTTTCAACGAAATCAAGCGTCATCTATAACTTTTCAGAGCCTACGATTATTTCGCTAAATAAACTCAAGCAAAGTAATTTCCATCTTTGTAAATTTGCCTGAAAAATTAATCTAATACAAGACTTATGATTGTTTTTTGTCTATTTTTCTTCGGATTTTTATTGCTTTTTATCACTACTTTTCTGATCTTTATTCTACGACTGTTGAATAAACAGGATGTAAAAATGACAGAAGAAATATGGCTATATTGCATATTTAAGCTACGCTGTTGAATCCTTCTTAGTCAAACGGTACTGCCTCAGAAAGACTGGCTTCCCTGGATAAGTGACGCAAATCTAAATCTTTCCGAACGCTTATACTTTATTTCTGGGAAATATTTTAATTTCTTTAAAAACGTCACTATCTTTTAATATACGAATGAATGCATCCATGGTCTTTTAATATGACTATTTACGAAAATTTAAGAAATGATAAAACAAAATAGGTGGAACGGAGAAGTGGTGTATCATTATTTTTCCAAGTGTTGATAGCCTACCCTACAAGTCTTAAAAATCAGCATTTGAACATTTGACTTTGAAATCTGGATTCGAACCCCGAACCAGTAACTGACATCTTATGCAAGTTAAGGCTAAATCGTCATATCAAGAAGTAAGGAAAAAAACTTTATCGCGTTCATGTCGTGATTAAATATTTTATTATTTTACAATGCCTTCGAATTATAAAAGTTATTTCTTATTTATGTGATCCGCTATTCATCCTAGCTCCATAAAGAAAGACTTGAAATCAGACCAGTCAAAAACCAGTGATAAAAGAGTAATAACAATTATATTCCAAAAATATTAAATAGTCAGTTTTTGTTCGAAAATTCAAGGTTATAACTCAGCCCGGCTCAATCCTGGGTCCTTCCCACGTTGGTCTGTATCTTATCTGCTGGTCGCTTCGTTCCTTTATCTGCCCTGCCCTACGTTGTGTTCCTTAATCACAGAGCAGTGAAGACAGAATTTCGTTCATACTTGCTCGCTGAATCGAGCTGCGGCGGAACCGTTCTACAAAAAAACAAAGAATGCTTCCTCTGGCGAAAATACAAATAACATAACAACATAACGCAGAAGCTTAATGTTCAATTGGTTTATATAGTCGTTGATACAACATAATTAACCCTTCCCGTTAAAATCTCTATCGTAACCCTGTGTCTCTTTTTTTCTAAAAATTGGAGCGAGTTAAAATATACAACACAGAAATAGGTCGATCGGGAATTCTGTCGGCAGCAGGTCACGTGAAGTTCAGCAGCTCCTGACTCGTGTCGGTTCTCGTTCCAACTGCTGGCTTCAACTAAGCGCTCTGTTTATATGTATTTCGCCCGACTCCTACCGCATCTCAGTATTCATATCAGTTAGTTATTTTCCAAACTTGGAGAAACGACACGGACCCTCAAACAAAGCGGTCAGTTATTCAAGACAGTACATTCTCTGACAACAATAACTTTCCGATAACAAACTTTTGTGTTTAAAAATTATTTCTATTTTTCTGATGTCAAAGAATTTTCCCATTCCTCATTTTTTTTAACCCTTCCAATTTTCCAATTCCTATACGGGGTTTTCACATGAACCCTTTTAATCCTAATTCCATACTACCAGTGCCACAGTAGTGCTACAAGGTTAGTTCTTACAATATTGCGCAATGCAACACAAATATCCAGTCAATCCTCGTCTGTAAATAGTTCACCTGAAGACGACGGAAACGTCTTGTAGAAAAAATCGGAATAGTTCAGAACAATTAATGTGTATTTGTCTTCAACTACTTTATTAAATGCCAACCATTATTCATTTTTAATATATAATATTATTAATAATAGATTTCTTTTATTATATTTTTCGTTTTAAATTGTCAGAGGAAACTTCTGCCTTGTGTATATATCACTGAAGTGCAAGTCAAAATAAAGTTGTTTAATTCTCAATAGATCACCATTCCGATCCATTCATCTTCTTTATTACTTTCCAGAATAAATTTGCTTGCTACATTCACTTATGCGGTTGCTGGTTTAATCACTTATTATTATTATTATTATTATTATTATTATTATTACAGCTCCTGTCGCGGTGGATATAACCGATGGATTAGTAAACAATACTGAAATTAATAACAATCCCATACCATCCGGCAATGAAACCAAAACTCAAAATATCCACATTCAATCCAGTAATACGACAGGCAATCAAAGCAACTCTCAAAATATGACAAATGTGAAGGTAAAATATTCAACTTTTCTGACTTAAAATTGCCTTCAAAAATCAGATGTCATATATAAATTAACTTTTAAATTTCAAAATCATATTTAATTTAACAGTTAACTTAATAGATAAGGTAAACATCTGTGATAAAGACACTAAAAACTTTCATCCATCTTTGTGCATATAGTTATCTTACCGCTTATTTCTCTAACTTGTAATAACTTCAGTGGATTTTCTCGAAATAGTAACAAGCAAATTTTCGTAAAATGCAATAAATTTTAGTATAATCAAATCTCAGTATATATTCCCTTTCGCTATGAATTCAGCCCTCTGGTAGTCAGTAATGCTTATATCAAGTATATGATACATTACTGTCTCTGTAACGTGCGATGGTGGCCTAAGGGTGAGAGTATCCGACTGATGTCAGATCGGTCGGGTTTCGGTCCGGTCCTGAAGCAATTTCTATGTCTAGCCGCACTGATGATTTGTGAAACAGTCCGTTAGTTTTTGGAAGCTTCTAAAACATGTAATGGATATAAATGTTACATCAAACAAATTGTCAAAAGAACGGTTTTTCCACTGATATTCTTTTATCTGTTGCTAATTTACGAGTTCGTACCGTCAAAAAGGCAGTATAAATGTCTTCATTTTATGTTAAATAATGACTTCATAATCTCAGAATATTTTAGGCTTAAATTGTAATATATATTTATTGTTTCTGCTATCTTTTTCTAAAATTAACAAACTTTTCGATGTTCGTGGTTATTTATTTATGTACTATTGTTTACTAATGTTTTTCTTTCCTAATATCAGTAAAACTTTATAGAAAATAATGGAAGAGACTTGGATACAAAGAAAAGTGACCTGTTTTATAAAATAAATATTAGTAAGATGTTCTATTAGAAATAGATTTATATTCATAATTACAAACGAATGCTAAGCGAGGTTTATATTATTTTTATAGGTTGTCGTTGCTTGTGGAATAGTGAATATCTTTGCTTCCAATTTGTTTAACAAGCCGAGTGCAGCTTTTAATACCTATAGCGCCATTGCGACAGATAATAAACCCGGATGGATTCGATCTCCAAAAAGTCAACAGTTGTATATTTCACTTGTTTCACAAAGCCTGACTGCATCAACATGTACCGACCCTCATTATAATATAAGTATCAATCCGCAAGAAACAGGTAAGTAACTTTTTAAATGGTTCAGAAAAACTTGAAATAAAAAGCCAACCTTAAAACCAGAATACACAGGAGTTTGTAGAAATAATGTGTTTTAGGTTGAAACATTATAATCATGATGTTAACATTCCACACCCCAAAAAATAAATGTTTAGGGAAGAAACCACTGTGAATACTGAAAATAGCGATAAAAACTACTGAACTTGAGAAACCTGTTTTCCTAAAAAGTTGCTTTAAGAGAAAGATTTTATAAATTACAACCGAAAGCGCGTACAGATTGCTCGATCAATGAATGTATTCTTGTAGGAAAATGGCTAATATTACCATTATCATTACCAATGTAAATATACATGTATAGTTGTCTGTTAAACATTTGAATCGCAAAGACATTATAATTTATCGATGCCAGCTTTCATTCAGCTTCAGTACATCAGAAAAGTCCGCATTACAAGACTTTAAAAATATCCAAATAAAAAATTAATCTTAGTTCTTCCTGAAGATCCAATGCCGAATTTCCAAATGAAAATTATAAATAAAATTAAATAAAAGAATAAAATTAAAACTTTGTATAAAATAAACTAAATAAAAAATACAAATAATAAATGTTCTCCCAAAATGCAACAGAAACTGTTCCTGTCAGAAAACGCATATCCCACCAAAAGACGTCGAATTCAATCTCTTCACTACGAACCTTTAGATAGTCCACACGTCCAACTCTCTCTCTCTCTCTCTCTCTCTTTCTCTCTGTGATATTACGTGTAATAATATGGAGTGACTTCTCCCTTTCATCATATGCAACCTTAAAACACTTGTGACCAAAAATACACACACCAATACACATAAAAATAAATAAATTTTATTATACTAATGTACAATTTAACATGCCTTTACTGTTATCTCTATGTATGTTTTTATTCCTGTGAAGTATGAGGCTATTTCTGCTGCTATGATGTGAGCGACCCCACAACTGCTTCAAATAAATAAATAAATTTTTATCAATCTTCATAGATTTTATTTTTTTACCTGAAGCTAATCAATCTTTCTTGCTTTCTAGCCTTAATAACGTTCAAAAACCATTTATGCAGCCTTGTGGGGGGGACTTATTTTCCATTTTGCTGTCTCTTTCCTACAGACAAGTCTATCGCTGTCATACGTCTATTACTATTTTTACGGCTACTGCTCAGATGATATCCATTCTTTAGTTCCACGAGTTCAGACATTTATAACGAGGACACACTATTCCACTTCCACGGAGTCAAATCACCCTCATTTCCTCTCTATTCCAAATCTAAAGAGAAAGTTCCAATCATACATCTTTTCCCAAGAACTACTTTGTAGAACAGACTCATGTCAGGAATGGATATTTTCATGAACACTACAATCTTAACCTTTTCAATTCAACGGTCAATCATTAGCTATCCTCCTAATTCTCCCAATATTCATTCTTTAGAACTTACTCTTTCATTCATGCCACACACCTCATTCATCATACTAATTTTAACAGTAAACCCTAACTGGTTCTCGAGCCTTTATTGAGTGAACTTTAATATAAAAAAAATAAATAAACGTATGATGGCTATGAGATTTTCAAGTGCATTTCCTAAAAAATGTCCGGATTAAAACAGTTGCAGAATCATTAATTACGGTAATATCTGTGTTGAACTTAGTGATAATTTATTGGTCTATAGCATTAGTTCACAAGCCTTTTTCCCCAATGCACTCATTTAATCGTGTCAGAATATCATTCTCCCCCTTTCCAAGATTGTCCGACTCAAAAAGATGCATTCCAAATAATATACATTCGTTGTCGTCAGCTTTGTCTTCTACCCAAAGAGTTCAGTTCTTCTACGGTGTGCGCTTTTTTTTTCTGATGATGGCATTGATGACTAAATTCACCGCCAACCTGCAAGTTCTGGACTAAAAGCTTCCAGTTTCACCAAAACCTGCTCCCGTCATCCATTACCTATCGCCGTTTGGTTTTACAGGAGTTGGTTGGCGGGGCGGGGGAGTGAAAGAAAATCAGAGTAAATGAAAGTGCCAATGGCGGGAATTTGTTAAAAGTGGACCTCAACTTGCTAGGAATTGAAACACACACTTGATTTTATGACCTTCCTTTGCGGCACACACAGAATGGGACATGCAGGATCCAGCTATGAAACTGCAACGGACTGCCGCTGACTCTGTTTTAATTTCTTCGAGTGATACCTTCTGTAGCATACCCGTCGTACGTAGCCTTCTTCATACGCTGGTTCAACCGGTAAGATTGTTGTAATGATCATCCGTTGGGACCTTTGAGGTTGGTCATGCTTAGTCTAGGTCCTCGTTTTCAACCTTGCCACCAAAAGTGGCCCTACTAGGAGATTAGAACTATTGACGGCTCATTGGACTATAATATGCATATATTATTGAAAATCTTTGTTCTTTTCTATATTAGTATATATACATTTACACGCATTATTTTATAGAGGAGTTTTACAGATTTAATAGCAATAGAAAATGCTGATGGATTGTTAAACTTGAATACATGTATAGTAATTTGTTTTAATTCATAACTAATTATGAAATAAATAAACTGAAGCATACTTCAATAAATAAAATGTTCAATAGAATGCCTTGGTATACATTGAATATAAATTTATTGGAATACTTAAAGTCGAATACTGCCCAGACCCAAACAGTACACATGCTTCTTTGGTTCTTTTTTTATTTTTACTCATTACTTTTTGTTTATCAGGAGTCACAATAGTCTGTAAAGAAAATGGAATTGAGAGGAAATGTACATACGAAGATATTAGACAATCATTTGGCCCTCTTTGTGGTACGTATATCGATTTTTATTGTATTCTTGTACGCACATACACACGCATGCGCATATGTTGTAATGTTGCCGTTATACAAAATAACCGAGAATTAGGAGTTACAGAGAGTATCGAAGGAACGGGGGGATGGAAATAGAGGAAACTAATAAGAAGAGGTTTATTAAATATCGATGCATAGAACGGAAAAACTTGAGAAAATCAATTACTACTAAAATCCTCCTCTAATATGGCTAATTGCCTTATTTTTAAGTAGGAGCAATTCATTGCCACAGTAGTTAAGAAGACCAGGAAGTTCGCTGAGTCCTACTAAACAACAACATAGAACGATCAAAACAAGTAATGCACATTCTGCTATGTGTTAACAAATATTATTTCATTTTTTTAAGAGTGTCTATTTAATTTAATGCATCTAAGCAGCATAAAAATGAACATATTGACGGACTTTCCATTTTCTTCCAACAACTTCAACCGGAGACATATTTTTACAGTACAAATATTTATTAGTAATCATTGTATACAACTGTTTCTCGTGTCTTCAAACCAAATACTCAGACACACATAGTTTTTGCATGATTCTTTACAAACATAAAATTCTAAATGAAAAATTAATATTGTTATTAACAAATCTACAAATTCGCATACAGAGAGAATAACTGTATTCCAATAATCTCTTTTGTGCGCATGCTTGATGGTTTTTATACAAATCTCTTAATTTGAGACTGGACGTTTCGCCAATCTGACCTCATGCCAAAGGTAATTTGCATCAACAAACATTCACTATCTACTAGTAGGACTTCTGATTTCTTCAGGCGTTGATGCTAGGATTATAGCAAAATATCGAGTTTAATTTCTTTCTCACTTCATTAAAAGAGTCAAAATGATTGATTATTTGAGATTAATTTTTTAACACGAATAGCTAGAAGCTAATGTCTAACGATTAACACCATCTCAAATTATTGTTAATATAAATAATGATAAAAGAACAAAGAAAATTGTTTTCAATTTATTTCAACAGTAGTTTATTTCTGATTGCCAGTTGAGTACATGTTACATTCAGTGTTAAATTCAATTGTTTCTTCCACCGTGTATAACATATCCATAGCAAAGTTGTCATTCTTATTTCATAGTTGATTTTATATTATTCGTACTTTCTTATTTATTGTCCAAACCATTTTCTTCTATGAGACCCGAGTTCGAATCCCAACAAGGTCGATTTGTCAGGAAGGTAACTTCTTGATGTTATCGCCCTGGGATGTGATCCCAACGTTCTTGAAAAACTATACCACGAATTGAAACAAGCCTTGTGAGTGAAGTTAGGTAGACGAAACTCTACATCAATGTTTGTGCTAGCATTATGTCACGAGTCATCGTGACCAAGGGCTTGAGAGTACCGGCTTTTTTCAAACAGTTCATCACGCTCTCTCCAAGAAAATGTAACTAAGGACCGCTCAATATAGTTGCAGTATAAACCACAGAAAGGCTCCGTGAGTTTGAACAAATAAACATGTACCTAAGCAGGTGTCTGCAACAAGGATTGACTAGCTGGTGTTGACCCCAATGACTACTTTTATATTTACATACACACTATCACTGATATCGAACACCTTCTCATAAATATAGCATACCTTAAAGCTATATTTTTATCATATATATATATATATATATATATATATATATATATATATATATATACTAGCAGTAGAGCCCGGCGTTGCCCGGGGATGTAACAGTAAGAGATAGATCAAGTATCGACCATCATAAAGACTGAAAAATAAAATTGACAAAGATTATTGTTTAAGGTTGATGGACACGCATGTCTTAATTAGTTTTTAGTTTTTATTTTTTTTTTTTTTTTACGAATTGATCAAACCCAAACTCAAACAAAAACATTGTTTTCAATCGTTATGAATCTACTGATTGAATAGAATTTTATTATAAACAATGTCTTGTAAATGGAATTCTGAATGTAAAAATAAAGAAAAAAGTGTGCAAGACAATAAGAAACACTACCTGCCAAAAAAAAGTTTTGTTGAAATCGGTTGAAAAATGTAGGAAATCCAACCCCATATATAAACGAACACACATACAAACAACCTGGGTTTTATAATAAGTATAACTCGATATGAGTTGTCCCCCTTTCATTTTGGCGACAGAATCGTGTTTTATCATGTTTTCGAATTGGTTTCGTATAAAAACAATTGTGTTTTTCCAATTTTTGGCGCCGTCAGAACCACCGCAAGGTAATTTTACGCAGTCCTGTGAAGTTTTGTTGAAATCGGTTGAAAAATGTAGGAAATCCGATCCAATATATAAACGTACACACACACACAATCTGCGTTTTATAATAAGTAAGATATATATATATATATGTGTGTGTGTGTATATATATATATATATATATATATATATATATATATATCTGTGTGTGTATGTCTGTGCATAATATCTTTAATCCATTTCAGCGGTAAAACGCTCAGACGTCTCATCACTGAAAACATCAATATGTTTATATGTAAATTTGGATTCATAAGCTATTCAAAGCTAACAAAGCGAGTGCACCAGATTCTTTGTTATTTTAATATTATTAGTTTTATACTGAATAAACATAATTTATTGAATTTGACCCGCTAGATATTATATATGTAGTAACCTCCAAAGATTCGCTGAAAAAAAGAGCATACATGATGAAAAAATGCACAAAATTTAATAAAAAAACAATGTTTAATTGTCAAAACTTCGATACTATTATAAATAGGAAAGACCAAAGGATATTTATGTAAAAAATAATTTTCTTTTTAGAGCCTTTTAGAAATTTTGCTTAAAATCCTATTTCTCTGATGTCAACGTGATACCATAGATTCGTATGAGAAATCTGAGCGTCTTTTTGCGGTAAAAAATACATTGATTGGAAATTCTTACAAAAATCAGATAATTGCCAAATTTTAATGAAACTTACAGGACTTAATCTCAAATGAATGAAATTATTTTTGAAATGCTTCGTTTTTGTTTTTTTGTTTTGTTTTTGTTTTTTTGGGGGGGTTGTTTTTTTTTAGAAAATCTTCGGGAAACTATTTTTTTACACCCGACTTATTTAATTTTATGAAATTTCGAGAAATTCTTTTTTTATAGCGCTTAATGTTTATATTAGCTGTTAGAACAAATCCTAAATCCTAAACAATTTTTGTCAAACAGGACCCCCAGTTACAGAAAATCTGCTCTGAATCGTAAAATAAGAAAAAATAAATAAAACTAAGACATTAATTAGAAAACATTTATGTACTTTTATGAATAAAATATATTATGGACATTATTGTCTTAAGAAAAAAAAGGTTTCCGATGAATAATAAAATTTAATTTTTTTTATTTTAATTATAATAATTTATAAACTTTTAAATCTTTTAAAATTTGGTATTAATTTGTAGAAGTAAAACGATATTATTATTAAGTAAAAACTGTATTTACTAATCAAAAATGGAAAAGTTTACTACAATTCAGCGATTTCCAATATTTTAAAAAGAATTTTGAATTATTTTATGTGTGCAGATTTTTGTATATACGGATTTTCATATGCGACATTATCAGAAAATAAATGTGACAACTATAATAAATTTAACATTTGCTGGTAATTTTCTAGCATGTCCTCAATAAGGGTCTTCGAAAGGAAAGCTATAAAGCTAAAATACCTAAAATTCAATAAAATATTAGATTACTGGGAATGTTTTAAGTTTTTAAGATTACTGGATAGGTAAAAAAGAATTTTATACGTTGTATTCGTCATGTAATTTTATACAATTATTTACACCTTACATAAATTTACGAAACATCATGATATCGTTAAATGTCAAGATATTATAAAACACTTACCTGCTTGTTAAAAATACTTTTTTTTGCAATATTTTAAATCAAAGTAAGTAATATTTGTTTCAATTCAGATTAATGAGACTTTAAATCAGCTAATCTTCCTCAAATAAAATTTCATTAAAGTATATTTTATTTTTGAATGATTTTTAATAAAGAGAATCATGTTGTGTTGACAAATTTATCAATATGGACAATTTTATCAATTTTACTTATAATCAAAACAAATTTCAATCAGTTTAAATTCGGTTTGAAATATAGCAAAGTATTTTGCTTATTAGAAATATTAAATTAATCTATTAGCTTGGAATTAAAACTAAGATAAAAGATTCGTGTAATTCTCAATTTTAAAAATTATTTTTAAATTTTATGTCTGCATGGATTTTTATGAGGTACCAATATATATAGTAGCAGTATCATTACTTAAAAGCTATTTTTAATGGTTTAGTTTATTCATTAAACAGTATATTTATTTTCGTTTACCGAAATGAATATCCGCGAAATCTTATTAAAGTAAGATATGCGCTCTACTGTAGGATTTGGATCTACAGCCCTCTTAGCGCGAGAACCAGTCTTTAGATCCGATTCCAGAATTCAAGAAAGATTTCTGTTTTTAAGACACTATTCAACTTTACTTGATCGACGACTCAGTCCGTGGCTGTGTCGGTGTAAGCACATCGGATCTAACAGCGGTTTCTCTTGCCAATAGATCGCAGGTTCGAATCCTTCCCAAGAGTGCATATTTTTCTTTCATACTTTTGTCGAAACTTCAGGCCTGTAAGCAAAATTAAATTTAGATTTAGTAGCTTTAATACATTGATGAAATCAAAGAAGCTGCTGAACAACTAACGTTTTTCTTTAATTACAAACTCTTCCAAAATGGCGTCATCAAGTTCAACAGGACAGTGTTCTATTGACCAGATAGTATTGAGAAAATCTTTAATTAGGCTAGACCCGTAAATGAGAAAGCATTGAAAAAGAACTTAAGACGCACCTAGAAATTTTCAAAAAATGTAAACTTGTATTTGTCGTTTGCTGCACACTTTTTTGCTGATTTGTGATGCAATACACTCAATTCTGAACTAGTGAAATTTACCCAAAATAGCCAGGCAGAGTGTATCAGAGAGTAATTAGAAATTTAACAGATTCATGAAAGATAATCTATTTGATGGAATGTGGGACACAATTCACCCCACATAAAAATGGGTTTAAAAAATATTATCAAAGCTTTATATTCGAACTTGAAGTATATGATAAGCTAACGACGCCACAGACAACCAGTACTTACTATACATAATACCATAATATTAAATATAAAGTGTGCGTATAAAGTATCTTGAATAAATCATTGCTTTCTAGAGAGCGATTGAATTAAAATGTAACATTGAGTATGAGAGAGAATTATAGAGGATATTACGTTTCAACAAAGTTATTTTCAAAGGTAAATGGAAACAAAATTGGAATGAAAATTGGTAATGAAAAATAAAACAAAATTAAACAAATGCATAAAAGAAGATTTAAAGTCTAAAATTCCAATTTTTTCTCTACACAACACGATTCAAATTGAAAATTAGTCCACGTTTCAAATCACAAAGTAATCTTTACGCTTCCATTTTATTTATATCTTCTTTCATGAATATTCAATTAACTCCGTCACAATTTATTTTCTGTCATTTCAGGTGATGACAACATTCCAAATCCATGCACTAAGACAAATATCCTGAATAATATAATGCGGTTTAAGCATCCAAAATCGACCACTAAATACATCCAATGTAAGATTTCAGGAGAGATGGAAATTGTCAATTGTCCAACAGGAACAAAATACGACGAAAATCAACAAGTGTGTGGTCCTCAAATTATAAGTCCTCCCCAGAATAGCACTTTATACAACGGCTCAAATCCATGCACCGTAGAAGCCATTAGAGAAGACAATTTTATTTTGCTAATCCATCAGACATATCATCGTTTATTCAGTGTAACGAATGGGGAACTGCTTTTCTCGTAAACTGCCCAATTAATACGGCTTGGTCACAACAAGCTTACACATGTGTTCATCATTCCAGCGCAATTTCTCCCGCTATTAACCCATGTAACTCCTCTCAAAATAACCAGTTTTATTTTGAAAATCCTGGAAACCGAAAATCATTCATCCAGTGTGATGCGTTCGGAAACGCTTTCATACAGCCATGTCCGTTAAGAACCGTTTGGTCACAGGCCGATCTTAGTTGCGTCCATGATTCTATCAATTTGAATTGGAATATAACCTACCCTTCAGAATCTTCTACCCCTAATCCTCTTAATACTAATTTTCCTCCTTCTAAATGCAAAAATGGGGAATATTTGCCGCACGAATCTGACCCCCAAAAATTTTATCAGTGTGATTGGGGTAAATTGGTTTTGCATAAATGCAACGGCAAACTAGTATTTTCGAAGAAAATTAATGTATGTGATAGGCCATGAAACAAGATGCTTTTCTTCTGTAGCAGCTTAATTTAAAAAATCAAATTTAAAAATTAACATTTAATGTCAATAAATTGACTTAGAATTAGGAAGATTTGTGTAGATCATTTCGCTCTGGTTTTGTACAACAATTTTTTTATTCGTAAAACATTTTGTTAGCGAACAAAAGTGCCCCGTCTTTAGACGTAAATAAGAAATAGCACCCAATTAAACAAGAACTAAATTCTTCATGTTAAATGTTTTAAAAACATTAAGATTCAAACTTATAATAAAAACTATGTTGTTCTTGACTTTTGTTTTCTTTTTAATTATTTTTTAATAAATGTAAAGGCGGGTAAAATTTTCCCTTCGATACAAAACTTTTTATTTTTTCAACTAATTGGCTATTAGTATGTATGCTATATTTACTATTAACAAATTCAATTGCAGTGGCATTTCTCCCTTGTAAGTCATATAAAATGGTAATAAAAGAACACTTATACTAAGAATCAGAAAGAGAAAATTTCTTAGACACATAATGAGGAAGGATGGCATGGAAAATTTAACACACACAGGGCATATCGAGAGCAAGGGAGATAGGAGAAGGCAGCAGGCTACCTATCTTGGGAACTTGTGTGAATGGATGATAGAACGGAGGTGGGGATCTTGGCAAACGAAGAAACGTTGCTACGTGCCGCAAAGGATAGGGGGTTGTAGAGAACCGTGATCGCCCAAGTTTGACACGACACACAGAAGAAGAAGCAATCTCCTTTTCGATACACTTATTCCAACGATTTTTCATTAATCGCATCGATCATATATTGTGAAAACGTCGACTCAAAATGCAGCCTTGTGAGTTTGTTGATCCACGATCTTGTATAACCAGATCATACCTGAAAGACAGAAGGTTTAAGTATTTAAGAAATGTATTATGATTATTTTTTAGTAAAAGTATTTTAAGAAAGGACACAAAGTGCGACACTGAAAGATGCATTCCATAAGTTAAGGATAAGTATTAAGAAACAGAAAAAAAATCGTTTGAAAAATGTACTGAACTGTTACATGATATCAGTCCTCCTATATGGCAGTGAATCCTAAACAATCTCTTCACTGATGCAGAAGAGACTCGAAGCAACAGAAATGTAGTTTCTACAAAAGGATGCAGAGGATACTACGTAGTGAACATGTGAGCAACGACGAGGTTTTGCAGAAAATGGAATCAAAGAGAAAACTTATACTTAACATCAAAGACAGACAGTTGAAATTTCTAGGGCAAATAATGAGAAGAAAGGGGCTTGGATACTCACAGGACATATTGAAGGCAAGGGGGACAGAGAAAAACAACACATAACCTACTTAGTGAGTTCCAGGAAATAAATTGCGGAACGAAGTTAAGGAAAGATTTTTTAAAAAAAGACAAAATTTATTAAGAGCTACAAAGGATAGGAAATTGTGATGAGCCATGATCACCTACGTCCGGAAAGGACATGTCACATGGAAGACGAAGAATGTTGTGTAACACTTTCAGATCGATACAAAACATTCTACGTAAACGAACTCACTACTAGTGTCGCTAAAAAAAAGAGCGTAGCATGATCAAAAAGCCAAACTTGACGAAAACAAAATTTTATCGTCTAAATGTTTATGTTATTATTAAGAGAAAAGATCAAAGTATTTTTGGGGTATTTTTTACATTTTTTTTTTATTTTTTTTAATCTTTCCTAGCACGTCCGATCTTTTCGTTAAAAATCTTTTTTTTGTTTTTTTTAGTCAACAAAATTGACAGATAATCGATCATGGCAACCATTTTTATTTCCATTTTATAAAAAAAATGAAAATCTCAGTTTGAAATTCTTTTAAATATCAATTATCATTTTTTCAAAACTTATTTTAAGAAAATCAGAAATTATAATGTCTATTTAAAATATTTTGAACCAAGCTTAACCGAAAAGATGTAATTTGAAAATAAAACAAAGCAGTTCATAAATTTTCGCGTTACTTGACAGGAGATGAATGACATATTGACGGATTACGTGAGGATAATTTATTCTACGGAAGGAGAAAAGTGAAATTATTTACATTTAAATGAACAAGTTATTTACCTCGTTATTTTTAAGGAAAACATTCAGCACTCTAATTTTTTTTTTTTATACTTAGCTTTCACCTTTACGTTTACGATGCTTTATGGAAAATATATTATAAAAAAATTAAAGTAAGAATGTTAAGAATGAGATTAAATTTCATATTTCATAAGAAAGGTATCTAATTAATTTATAGGTACCTTTCTTATGAAATTTTATCAGAAGTGTACATAAAATACTATAATTTTATGTACATTTATTACATTTTACTGTGTTATTTGTATTTCCAGTCATTTTATTATTAATTTTGTTATTTCATTTATGGAAAAATGTCATAACTGAGATTAATATAAAAATAAGATCATATAAATTTCATAAGATGATACTGATACTTGTAGGTACCCTTCTCAGTTGAAATTGAAAAATCAAATTAACTTCACACGTGTTTCGCAAAAGTAAAGGGCTTAACAGAGGAGAACAATGCTTAACTCATATAGCGCAACTTAATTGTATTCTAGTTGGTCTTCCGTACTTTATAATTACAGCCCGATTATAAACACAAAATTACATTTCTTAATTACTGCGGGTCTTCTGATTAGTCAAAACGATACCATTTACAACGCGCTAAAAATGATCTATCTCATAAGGACACTTACAAAACTGGATGCGGCTTTTAACTAATTTTATAATATTTTAACAACTTAAATGTAAAAATGTATTATAATTAAAAAAAAAAAAATAACACATAATTGTATTAAAATTTCATTTTTCATCGAAACATTTTTTTGCTTTCAGAAACATTGTCCATATTCATAAAAACAACTAAAAGCAAATAAAAGCATTTGAAATTAAATAATATATTTGTTTTATTGAGTTTTGTATGTTACAATTCAGAGCTGATTTTCAGGTAGGGGGTCTAATTAAAAACAAATAAAAAACATGATTTGCATTCCTCAAGGCCTTGTGCTTTTAACTATTGTAATTACTAAAGTGGACGATCGAATTTTTAGAGTTTTCGTAAAATTAGTTATGGACGGGTAAAAAAAATATTTCTGCCATGACTTTAATAAAAAAAAAATAGATATATTTATAATAATTTCGATCATCTGTGAATAGTTTCTGAAAGTTTCATTAATATCCGACAATTATTTTTATTTTTGCAAGATTTTCCAAATTAATGTGTGATACAGAAAAGAAACTGCAAAAATTGTATGTTATTTTACTAGTTCCGGTGATACAAAGAGAAACAAGGATTTTTAAATGAAAATTCAGAATGTTCTAAAAAGAAGGAAAAAAATTTAAAAATAATTAAAATAAACTTTGATCTTTCCTCTTAATAATAATATAAACATTTAGACGATAAAATTTTGTTTTCGTCAAGTTTAGCGTCTTTTTCATCATGTTATGCTCTTTTTTAGCGACCTCGTGGAGGTACCTAAACATAATATATTCCTACTACCAAATTAAATAGATAACAGGTTGATGACGAGAGGAATTTTGACTGAGAAAATATTGGAAACCTCTTGTTTCTTTGGTAAATTTAATGTTGAAATATAAATTTATAAATAAATAGAAAAAGCATTTGCAGAAAGAAAAAACAAAATTTCACGAAATACGAAAACCTACAGGTCATTTATCATTGGTGATTCGGGGCAACCCACTTCTAACTCCTTTATACTAATATCAAGTTTACGTCTCCTTTGCCTTGATTTTACTCTCTTTTCTCTCTCTATTTGCCTCATCCGGAAACTTTAAAACCAAATTCAGAGCCTACTCACTCCTGTTAGAGTAACCCCTCCCTAATTGACCATGTTTTCAGGGGTGGAGGAGTACTCATCGCATTTGGCCAATTGCAGCCATAGTGGTGGTGGAGGTAGCCGTTGACTTTGAGGAGTTCATCCGCCCTTTAACTGCTCTTGATTGTGTGTGTGTGTGTGTGTGTGTGTGTGTGTGTGTGTGTGTGCTGCTGGGTTTCCATTTACCTTCCTGAGGGAACCGGTTTAATCGACAACCTCTCAGGTTTTGAATTCAGAGTTGTCCTTCTCCCAGACTGGTTACCCCCTTTGTCTGTCCTGCTATTTTTCCATAGCTGATAGGGAGAAGAAATGGATTCATACCTTTCTCAACGGTATTTGCACGTAAGTGAATGTATTATAATTGTTTGTTGCTTTTTTGTAGTAAAATTAATTAGGGGTAACGCTTTCCATTGGATACAAAGCATTCTACCTAAACTAAGTCCCTATTAGTGGAAATAATATAATTCCTACTACCAAATTCATTAAATAAATAACAAGTTGAAAACAAGAGGGATTTTGATTGAGAAAGTATTGGAAGCCTCTTGCTTTCTTTGGAAAATTTAACGTTAAAATATAAATTTATAAATAGATAAAAAAAACATTTGCAGAAAGAAAAAAAACAGCACCATCTCACGAAATACAAAAACCGAAAGGCCACTTATCTTTATTATTCGCGGCCGAGGCAAAAA